CAATTTTGTAGGGGTACCCCTAGGAAAAAATTCGAAAAATTTAAAAGCCACATATAGGCAATGTTTTGAATGAGGAAAGTAGCTTCTGGGTTCGCTGATTACTAAATGGTACTTTATATCCTGATCAAATACGAATTGGCAGAGCTATGGGAAATCCGGAAAACCCACAATTTTGTAGGGGTACCCCTAGGAAAAAAATCGAAATATTCAAAAACCACATTTAAGCAATGTTTTGAATGAGGAAAGTCGCTTCTGGGTTCGCTGATTACTAAATGGTACTTTATATCCTGATCGGATACGAATTGGCAGACCTATGGCCATCGGATGGAGCAAAAGTGGGGAAATCCGGAAAACCCACAATTTTGCAGGGGTACCCCTAGGAAAAAATTCGAAAAATTTAAAAGCCACATATAGGCAATGTTTTGAATGAGGAAAGTAGCTTCTGGGTTCGCTGATTACTAAATGGTACTTTATATCCTGATCGGATACGAATTGGCAGAGCTATGGCCATCGGATGGAACAAAAGTGGGGGAATCAGGAAAACCTACAATTTTGTAGGGGTACACCTAGGAAAAAATTCGACAAATTTAAAAACAACATTTAAGCAATGTTTTGAATGAGGAAAGTCGCTTCTGGGTTCGCTGATTACTAAATGGTACTTAATTTCCTGATCGGATACGAATTGGCAGAGCTATGGCCATCGGATGGAGCAAAAGTGGGGGAATCAGGAAAACGCACAATTTTGTAGGGGTACCCCTAGGGAAAAATAAGACAAATTTAAAAACAACATTTAAGCAATGTTTTGAATGAGGAAAGTAGCTTCTGGGTTCGCTGATTACTAAATGGTACTTTATATCCTGATCAAATACGAATTGGCAGAGCTATGGGAAATCAGGAAAACCCACAATTTTGTAGGGGTAACCCTAGGAAAAATTTCGAAAAATTTAAAAGCCACATATAGGCAATGTTTTGAATGAGGAAAGTAGCTTCTGGGTTCGCTGATTAATAAATGGTACTTTATATCCTGAACGGATACGAATTGGCAGAGTTATGGCCATCGGATGGAGCAAAAAGGGGAAACCAGGAAAACCCACAATTTTGTAGGGAAAAATTCGAAAATTTTAAAAACCACATTTAAGCAATGATTTGAATGAGGAAAGTAGCTTCTGGGTTCGCTGATTACTAAATGGTACTTTATATCCTGATCGGATACGAATTGGCAGACCTATGGCCATCGGATGGAACAAAAGTGGGGAAATCCGGAAAACCCACAATTTTGTAGGGGTACACCTAGGAAAAAATTCGACAAATTTAAAAACAACATTTAAGCAATGTTTTGAATGAGGAAAGTCGCTTCTGGGTTCGCTGATTACTAAATGGTACTTAATTTCCTGATCAAATACGAATTGGCAGAGCTATGGGAAATCAGGAAAACCCACAATTTTGTAGGGGTACCCCTAGGAAAAAATTCGAAAAATTTAAAAGCCACATATAGGCAATGTTTTGAATGAGAAAAGTAGCTTCTGGGTTCGCTGATTACTAAATGGTACTTTATATCCTGATCAAATACGAATTGGCAGAGCTATGGGAAATCCGGAAAACCCACAATTTTGTAGGGGTACCCCTAGGAAAAAATTCGACAAATTTAAAAACCACATTTAAGCAATGTTTTGAATGAGGAAAGTCGCTTCTGGGTTCGCTGATTACTAAATGGTACTTAATTTCCTGATCGAATACGAATTGGCAGAGCTATGGCCATCGGATGGAGCAAAAGTGGGGGAATCAGGAAAACGCACAATTTTGTAGGGGTACCCCTAGGAAAAATTTCGAAAAATTTAAAAGCCACATATAGGCAATGTTTTGAATGAGGAAAGTAGCTTCTGGGTTCGCTGATTAATAAATGGTACTTTATATCCTGAACGGATACGAATTGGCAGAGCTATGGCCATCGGATGGAGCAAAAAGGGGAAACCAGGAAAACCCACAATTTTGTAGGGGTACCCCTAGGAAAAAATTCGAAAATTTTAAAAACCACATTTAAGCAATGATTTGAATGAGGAAAGTAGCTTCTGGGTTCGCTGATTACTAAATGGTACTTTATATCCTGATCGGATACGAATTGGCAGACCTATGGCCATCGGATGGAACAAAAGTGGGGAAATCCGGAAAACCCACAATTTTGTAGGGGTACACCTAGGAAAAAATTCGACAAATTTAAAAACAACATTTAAGGATTGTTTTGAATGAGGAAAGTCGCTTCTGGGTTCGCTGATTACTAAATGGTACTTAATTTCCTGATCAAATACGAATTGGCAGAGCTATGGGAAATCAGGAAAACCCACAATTTTGTAGGGGTACACCTAGGAAAAAATTCGACAAATTTAAAAACAACATTTAAGCAATGTTTTGAATGAGGAAAGTCGCTTCTGGGTTCGCTGATTACTAAATGGTACTTAATTTCCTGATCGGATACGAATTGGCAGAGCTATGGCCATCGGATGGAGCAAAAGTGGGGGAATCAGGAAAACGCACAATTTTGTAGGGGTACCCCTAGGAAAAATTTCGAAAAATTTAAAAGCCACATATAGGCAATGTTTTGAATGAGGAAAGTAGCTTCTGGGTTCGCTGATTACTAAATGGTACTTTATATCCTGATCGGATACGAATTGGCAGAGCTATGGCCATCGGATGGAACAAAAGTGGGGGAATCAGGAAAACCCACAATTTTGTAGGGGTACACCTAGGAAAAAATTCGACAAATTTAAAAACAACATTTAAGCAATGTTTTGAATGAGGAAAGTCGCTACTGGGTTCGCTGATTTCTAAATGGTACTTAATTTCCTGATCGGATACGAATTGGCAGAGCTATGGCCATCGGATGGAGCAAAAGTGGGGGAATCAGGAAAACGCACAATTTTGTAGGGGTACCCCTAGGAAAAAATTCGAAAAATTTAAAAACCACATTTAAGCAATGTTTTGAATGAGGAAAGTAGCTTCTGGGTTCGCTGATTACGAAATGGTACTTTATATCCTGATCAAATACGAATTGGCAGAGCTATGGGAAATCAGGAAAACCCACAATTTTGTAGGGGTACCCCTAGGAAAAATTTCGAAAAATTTAAAAGCCACATATAGGCAATGTTTTGAATGAGGAAAGTAGCTTCTGGGTTCGCTGATTACTAAATGGTACTTTATATCCTGATCGGATACGAATTGGCAGACCTATGGCCATCGGATGGAGCAAAAGTGGGGAAATCCGGAAAACCCACAATTTTGTAGGGGTACCCCTTGGAAAAAATTCGAAAAATTTTAAAACAACATTTAAGCAATGTTTTGAATGAGGAAAGTAGCTTCTAGGTTCGCTGATTACTAAATGGTACTTTATATCCTGATCGGATACGAATTGGCAGAGTTATGGCCATCGGATGGAGCAAAAAGGGGAAACCAGGAAAACCCACAATTTTGTAGGGGTACCCCTAGGAAAAAATTCGAAAAATTTAAAAACCACATTTAAGCAATGTTTTGAATGAGGAAATTAGCTTCTGGGTTCGCTGATTACTAAATGGTACTTTATATCCTGATCGGATACGAATTGGCAGACCTATGGCCATCGGATGGAGCAAAAGTGGGGAAATCCGGAAAACCCACAATTTTGTAGGGGTACCCCTAGGAAAAAATTCGAAAAATTTAAAAACCACATTTAAGCAATGTTTTGAATGAGAAAGTAGCTTCTAAATGGTACTTTATATCCTGATCGGATACGAATTGGCAGAGCTATGGTCATCGGAAGGAGCAAAAGTGGGGAAAACCCACAATTTTGTAGGGGTACCCCTAGGAAAAATTTCGAAAAATTTAAAAGCCACATATAGGCAATGTTTTGAATGAGTAAAGTAGCTTCTGGGTTCGCTGATTACTAAATGGTACTTTATATCCTGATCGGATACGAATTGGCAGACCTATGGCCATCGGATGGAGCAAAAGTGGGGAAATCCGGAAACCCACAATTTTGTAGGGGTACCCCTTGGAAAAAATTCGAAAAATTTAAAAACAACATTTAAGCAATGTTTTGAATGAGGAAAGTAGCTTCTAGGTTCGCTGATTACTAAATGGTACTTTATATCCTGATCGGATACGAATTGGCAGAGTTATGGCCATCGGATGGAGCAAAAAGGGGAAACCAGGAAAACCCACAATTTTGTAGGGGTACCCCTAGGAAAAAATTCGAAAAATTTAAAAACCACATTTAAGCAATGTTTTGAATGAGAAAGTAGCTTCTAGGTTCGCTGATTACTAAATGGTACTTTATATCCTGATCGGATACGAATTGGCAGAGTTATGGCCATCGGATGGAGCAAAAAGGGGAAACCAGAAAAACCCACAATTTTGTAGAGGTACCCCTAGGAAAAAATTCGAAAAATTTAAAAACCACATTTAAGCAATGTTTTGAATGAGGAAAGTAGCTTCTGGGTTCGCTGATTACTAAATGGTACTTAATATCCTGATCGGATACGAATTGGCAGAGCTATGGCCATCGGATGGAGCAAAAGTGGGGAAATCCGGAAAACCCACAATTTTGAAAACCCCCTAGGAAAAAATTCGACAAATTTAAAAAACACATTTAGGCAATGTTTTCAATGAGGAAAGTCGCTTCTGGGTTCGCTGATTACTAAATGGTACTTTATTTCCTGATCGGATACCAATTGGCAGAGCTATGGCCATCGGAAGGAGCAAGAATGAGAGAAAATTCGGAAAAACTGCGAAAAATAAAAACATTATGCAAGAAGAAAAACTAAAAAAGATTGTCCCTTTCTCGAGCTGGATAGTGCAACATTAATTACCTTAGCATACTTATGGGATGATCAAAAAAAGTAAAGTAGAAGCCCAATTTTGAATCATTCGTTATCAAAACACAAAAGTAACTCTTTTCCTTCTAGTCATTATTTTTTATAAATTTTCAAGCACAATCGTTTACTTCAAACGAATGAGATAACAGGAAAGGAAAGTCCAATTAAAAATGCTGACCTGGAAGTCGCTGGGTGACTCTATGGCAGGCATTCTGTTCCATCCGTGGGCAAGCCACCGCAACGGTGGCCCCAGCAGCTTTAAGGGACACGATGTTCAGTCGTTGGGATCGTTTAACCACAGCCAGGAGGAGCAAGTGAATCCGGAATACTGCTGCTCCTTGAATTGGCTGGTGCAGTTGCAGCAGTCATCGTGTCCACTGATTGGGCTTATGGTAATGGGACTGCTGGTACTGCCCCTCTACAATGCGCTGCTTGTCCTGGTGGGGTGAGCTACATTTGGATGACTTTGTTTTCAGTGGAAGAGTAAAAGAGTGTCCTTTCAGGTGGCGCCTTAACTGCACTGCTTCGAGCAATGCGAAGCGCTTGATTCGGGAAATCCGACGCGCCAGACCCGTTAAAAGGCAGGCGCCTCTCCCTCCGCTGCCACCACCTCGGAGCCGTCGACGTCAGGCGCCCAAACCTCCGATTCAGAAACAGTCCGTTTCAGAATCCAGTAGCTGTTCGAGTCAAAGTAATCCTTACGGAAGCCTGCAGAACAATCGAAAACTGGCGGATGAGTATCTGCGGCATAATTTAAGTTTGGCACTGAAAGGATTGCAGCAGCCACTGCCGCCTCCGGTACCGCTGCGGCCGTCACCACTTTCCGAACCGGAAGAACTCTCCATTTTGGAAGCTCCCGAGCCCGGCGGAGACAGCGCGACGCACAAGTCACGTTCCAAGCTGTTAGCCATTCTGAAGTGTAGCATTTTTCGTCCCATTTGGCAGAAAATTAGGTCCCGGCACAGCCGGAAAAAATTAATGAATTCGGTGGCCCATACAGTCGCTACCTCGGCATGCAGCAGAGACAGCATTTGCAGTTCCAGCACCATCTCCAGTTCCAGATCCAATTGCTTGTACGTCTATTACGAGCAGAGAGGTGGATGGGAGGCAGGAGAGCAACTGGCTTCGTCGGAAACCAGTCCATCCGATGCGACCCCGGCACACATCTAAAACCCAAGTAAATCAATTTGATTATATATTTTTGTTACGATTAAAACCATGGTGAACTCAACCTCGGAATCGGAATCGACTCGGACTCGGGCGGGCCTTGGGTTTATTAGAACACATCCGGCTATTTCCAAAAAGCAGCCGCCAAACAAAAGACCTAAGCGACAAACCTTGTTCTCGCATCAATCATGTGGCGGGGGAAACGAAAATAAAGCCACCAGAAACCAAAAGTAAAACAAACAAAAGCTAAATAAGCCCCACCACTACCGGGTGAGCTGGTGCTCAGCTCGCTGACTTGCTGATTAAGGGGCAGCGAAAGCAGATCGCTATCGGGGCACAACTCCTCCGTCTTCAACTCTGCTCCAATCCACTCCACCCTACCACATTCAACCCACTCCAGTTCTCTACTGGCAGCGTCCATGACTCCACCTCCGACATCCAAGTGCAGCTCCATCATTTGTCTGGCACAATGGCAGGAAGGGAAACATAAAGAGCACGTGGAAAAAAGATATGATTTTCTTTGGGAACTAGAAAAAAATTCAATGCTCTTTAGTTTCTGCGTAAAATGAGTAGGAGTTTCATATGCATATATTTTCAGGAAAGGTGGCTTTAGTAATTCATTAGCTTTGATTTTTAAGTTATTTCTATAATCCATGACTTTGTGTAGTTGTTACTAATTTGTTACAACCATCACTATCAGCTAAAAATAATACTTGAAATCCTTGATCTCAAGACTGAAATACCTTTTTGTTAGTGAAGGCATAAATAAACACTCGAAAATTACAGTGCAAAATGAGCCGACAACTCCCAGACGAGTTTTTGTTCTTCCGCTGCCGAAAACGATGTGATGACCAGGCATCCGCTCCTCCGATGGCATTCCATCTCTGGGAAGAGGTTTGGAGGGAGCCCCCACCAGACAAGGCCATTGAAAAGTGAAAAGCCGTATGTTTTTCATAATTTGTAGCTAAAAATTAAATCACGTTTCTTATCAGCGATGCGATGCGGTTCGGAGCGGAGCGGAGGGTTGGAGGGGTGGTGCGATTGTGAGTGCCTTTCTTTTTCAACAATTACCAAAATCATAAAAGCAGCCAACGAAATTACCAACCAGAGCAACAACAATGAAATTTCACTTTCAGTTCGAGTGCGTTTGTGTGAGTCGGTAGCAGAAAAACAAAAGACTTAAGGCACGAACTTGCGCTCAGTGAAGGTTAAGTCGGCCGATTTGATATTCAATCGGTATAACCAATTTCGAAAGCCAATGCACTCGATCGATAAAGTCCCTCGGCCGGGGGTTTGATGCCTGAACGGCATAGATAATGTCAACTTTATGCCGAATAGATCACTTCTCATTGATTTTCCTTCCTTACTTTCGATTTTCTCGTGAAACTTGGCCCGCTTGCGAAACAGAGCATCGCATCTTGTGGAGTTTTCTCGCGAAAACTGAAAACTGGCACAAGCAGCAGCAAAAATTACTGCTGCAACAAACATCAAATGGCACGCAACGGAGAATGGGCATTAAAATGCACGCAATTAAGTCGGCCAAATGATTTACAGTGAAAGGCGGTGAAATTTATGGCATGCAAAGCGTGAGAAGCCAGCTCCCAGGAATCGCAAGCCCAGAACCTCTCAGCGAGTCTACCAGCCAATCCGAAATCCCAAAAACCCTAGCCCCAATCCAGTAAACACTTTCGATTTCTTTTCTGTCGGTGGTGTTGGTGGGCGTGGAAAGAGCGAGTGGATTGGATTTAAATTATGAAACCCTTTGAAAGCCAATATGCAAATTGGCATTAAGCTTGGCTTGAAGCTCCTGCTTTCTAGCCACGAGTGTTATGTGCTGCGTATTTTGTAAATCATATTTTCAATTTGCATTTCGAAGCTGAGGAGGATCAGGTCTTCGGAGACGTTTGGCTGTCTCTGGCCGCATCTCTGGCCGCTTGTATTTATATGCTAATCAAACGTGTTTTGTTTACAAAATCCCCGCATCTGATAACAAATGATGATGTTGACGCAGTCGCCTCCCCCAAAAAACTGGGTGGACGATGGCGGGGTTACCTAGTTTCTCCGGGGTCTACCTAGTTTCATAAAGAAAATCATTGCAGTTGGAGGAAGAAAACTAATGATTCCTTGCACCTTCAACTCGATTGAAGACTTAGGTTTTTGGTTGAAAACGAAATTGAATGACCATCCATTGCCAGAGCTATTGTCTAGTCTGCTGTTAGCCCTCTGTTAAGAGTGGTGGAGGAGGGTTGGTGGCTTAAAGCTTTTCAGCAACGGAGCGGCACGAATGAGCCGACCAAAAGCAACGCAACAAATATTTAATTTTCCATGCAGCTCACAGCTCACAGCTCATAGTGAGCTGCAAACCGAAAATGTGTTTATGTTGCCTGCTGCTTTTGTTGTTATTATTTGTTTTTATGTGGTTTTTGTTGTTGTTCTTGGACGGCTCGTATATGGCGCTCGTACGTGGAGGCCTGAAGCTCAGCCGCCATCAAACACTAAAGCCACAGAAACCCAACTCAATCCATAGCTCCAACTAAGCTCAGCTCGTATGCTCTCCGCTGGGAACATGGAAAGAAATTATAGGGCTTTTCATTGAATTTTTGAAAAATATTAAAGACTATCTATATGGACTTCTTAAAACCATCTTTCGTAAACAATTTCTATAATATTCCAGTGCTTTCTAAAAAAAAAAATGAAGTATCATTTCGAGCTTTTTCGATAAACTGGTCAGTTCAATATTTCATTTAACAATTTATATACCAAAATATTTTCTTTCAGTGCCTCTGCCAACTTCGCTGCTGTGGCCGCTGTTTTCGTCGCCTTGTCTTGGCAGCTGACGGTGGCAGAGCTCGAATCAGTTTCAGTTTTTCAGTCCAACGTGCGAGTTCGCAGCTCCAAGCTCCAAGCGGTCCGATTCGCCTTTCTTGAGGGGCCAGGATTTTTGAAAGTGACTAGTGACTACTACTACAACTACTACCACATAGAGTGGCGGAAAATGTGCGGTTAGCCGTTAGAGGGTGTCATAGCCAGTGTGTCCGACAGTGTAACCGACAGCTAACACGAAAATAAAATCAAACCAAATAGAATCGCAGTCCAATCGAATCCAGATCAATCCAATCTCTAACTCAAGGAGAATCGATTTGGTAGCCTGTGGATACGAGATACGCGGCGCGGAGTTTCAGTCAAAATGGTGAGTGCAAATGTGTGTCAGAGGCATGGAGCTATGGAAATTATCATATACCCCGATATACCGAAACTGAAACCCCAACCGTCACTACTTCCCTTGTGGAGAACAAAAAGCATGCCAAAGAATATTGAAAGTCCGTTGACGCAACGGAAAAATGAATGTTAACCCAGCAGCGACTCTATGCCTTTGTTGAGAACATAAAACAATACACAGAAAAAGAATTTATAGGTTTTTAGATTTTTTACTAAGATATAGAGGGTTGGCTTTCTTGGGATTACAAATTGATGTTTTTTTTTCTAAATTATTTTCAAAACTCCTTTTCATAAAGTTTCATGACTATTATTTAGTTTTCAAATTTTTCTGACGAAAGTTTTATAAAGTGGGCACTTTTTTTTAAATTTGTATTTAACTTTATTGGATTATGATTATTCTAATTCTTCTAATAATTTTTTTCACGAAAATTCGATGAAACTAAACTTTTTTTCTAGAAGTTTTTTCTTGAGTTGTATGCTTAAAATTCTTAAAAAATTAATACCTTTTTGTTCTGTGTAAGACATCGAGGTAGAATGCCTCCGATTGTGAGAAAAAGCAACAACAACATAAATTAAATAAAATAAAGTAACAACAACAACGAGAAAAACGGCAACGGGTTCTGGTACCGCTACTGACCGACCGAAGTTGAAGGCAAACTTGTCAAAGACAATGAATAAAAAATAAATGATCAACAATTCAAGAGGCACTCTTTGGGGCAAAAAAAAAAGCAGGGGAATGGTGGGGCATAATGTTGGTAAAAGGGACGGACAGCAGTTTCAGTTTCGCTTTCAACCGAATGGGAAAATATATACTTTAGTATAGCATGGGTGTTTGGGCCTGTGCATGAAGTCTTCAATTGGCCAATTGGCAACGGCTTTTACTTCCTCGGCGGCCTAAAGCGAAAAGCGAAATGCTAGCGGTTAGTCGAAAGATTTCCATTATGGCCGCAGCAGGCGGCACGCCTCAATTTGGCAGCTGAAAAAAAAAAATCAGCAGTAACAGCCACAGCAGCACCAGCAGCAAGTAAAAGTTGCAAGCGCACAACAATAGCAATAACAATAACTAGTTTTGTTGTACAACAATTAATATTTTTTGCAAAAAGGAAAACAACAAGACGCAGAAAACAGAAAACAAGCAGCAAAAAAATACCTATAACTCGCCAAAGTCGATTGGCAAATAGTTGGCAAAGCAAAGCAAACCGAACGCAAAGCAGAAAAAACTGGTCTCGAAAATGAAAAACCCGCAAAAATTAGGTTTGCTACGAAAACGATCTCGAAAAGAGTGGAAAAGCAAAAGGCGACTCGTATACCGATTTATAAATTAAACATTTTATTGTTTTTACGGTCTTTCGCTTGGCAAATCAAAGCTCACAATGCAACCGATCTGGTTGCCATATGGACTCTATTATGACTCCATTATAGTTCCATTATTCATCGTCTAATGTGGACCAGGTCGAAATGTCAAAATTAAAAATCGAAAACAAAAGAAATGAGCCAAAAACAAGAAAGACAATAGGACTGGCTGGTTTAATTACCAGATAGGGGGCCAAAAAAAAAGCCTTTTCATTACCTCTGTGCACTTTCGCGGCATTTCGCAGGCCGCCCCTTTTGTTTGGGCACGCCCACTGGCCTGACACGCGCTATTGACAGCCGTGACTGACATGTGCAGTCTGTCAGTGTCGCTGCGAAGCGTATCTACCAGATACATGGATGTATCTGCTGTACCTGGCGGCAGCTGAAACTCTCACTTTCATTCGAAATGCCTCGACAATTGAATTGAATGGAAAACACTTGCAGAGAATTTTGTTTGCAAAACAAACCATTCAAATGGCAAGAGGCAGCGGCAGAGCTTGCTCGTGTTTACATTCGAAAAACCCCAACAAGTCAACAAAATCAACAAAAAAAACTATATAAACCGAGGTTGTATCAGGGGGGAGGGTTGGCAGACAATATAATTGCAGAGAGACAGACTTTCTCCCTTACAGAAAACAGAAAACAAGCAACGCATTTTTCTTTACGGTCTTGTTGCTGTTTCGGTTTTTATTATTGTGACGGAAGTTGCTAATGCGGCACAACGGGGCGTATACGTAATGCGAATGTCAGGCCAACGATTACGAGGGTCCTGCTCCATCTCAGATTTTGTAACCGATCTTGCAATTAGCTTGAGTAAACAGTAAAGTGAGGCACAATAATATTAGTTTATTAGCTTTTTAAAATATTAAAACTGCATAGTGCCTACATTTAGTTATTTTCCCATGTTTGTCCCTGAAAGTGTGATTTTGATGTGATTTAATCAGTTTTTAAGTCACAGCACTTCGGGCCAGACTTTACATAAATTAAATGCTGGCAAACATTTTATTGTTAGCCAACAGAAAAGCCCTGAAGTTTGGATTGAGCAAGACCTGTATGTAATACAAACATTGTTTGTACAGCTTATCGGGCCGGAGCTCTTTGTGAATATTTCTATGAAAAAAGAAACAGCTCACGGAACCAGCCGACTTGGACTTAATTGCTGGCCAATAACAATTCGCTTTGCATTTGCTCAGCCAAGCTCATTCTCGCGATTCTGAGATGCTGGGCAATCACTTTTGGCCTAGCCCTGACAGCCAGCTGCAGTTTTCTGGCATTCGAGTGTATTCGAGTGGGCTGAATGGGGAATCGGAGTACTCAGTGAATCAAGTTTGCAGCTCGCTCACTTTTATGCTGATTTTGTGTGCATACTTTGGTTGAAATCGAAACGCATCAAATGGTTATTGAACTTTTCGTTGAGGCAGTCAGTCAGAGGCAGACAGACAGACAGTCGTTTTGAGTGAGAGTGACTAAACAGAAAAGACAAATTTAAATACAGTCTCTGTTGATACGTAAGCCTTGACATGGAAGAAGTATTTTCTATGTTTTTTTTAAATACATACAATATTTTTGCTTAAACATTTTCAAAAATAACATTAAAAACTATAAATCAAATAAAGTTATTAGTTATCAAGCTTGACTTGCTCAGCCAAACAAAAGACTGAGGCAACGAACTTGCCATGCCGTAGTGCAAGTTGAAGTTTCAGTTTCGTTTTAGGGTCTAGCAGGAAGTGCCACAAAAGTAAACCCGCTTTGTTTGATCAACTCGAGATGGATGTTGAATTCAAAAAGCAACCGAGCGATTTATCTTAATTGCCTCGCACCCAGTCTCAGCCCCGGTCCCAATGCCAGTGGCACTCACTGACAAAAATAGATGTTAATTATGTTTGAGCCAAATCTACATCCATACGCTTTAGGACCAACGCGTGTGTATATCAATCATTTGTCAGCTGCAGAGGTGACAAACCTCTTGGCAAGAAAAGCCAACTTAGCCAAAGCGGCAAACCCGTTCAAAGCCAAAGCGTTTTTTTTTTATTTTTTTGTGTCATTATATAAAGGCGGCGTATCTATATTTATCGGCCATTGGCATAATCGAAATGTCAAATCACTCTATCAGTCCGGTCGGATAAGACGGGTGATCGGATTGCACAACCCTGGCTTCTCATAATTGAAACTAATTAGGCGAAAATATAATTTGTGGCCATTTCTGTTGGCCCTTCCGCCGGCCAACAATTATCGTACTGGCCGTCGCTGCAGCATTTGGCAATAAATTCATCCGCTGCTGAACAGACAGGGCCATAAAATAGCCTGGCTTAATACCGTTTTATTGTCTAGGCCATAAACATTGATTCGAGGCATCACAAACTGGCCACAAACTGGCCCAGCCTCGAGGCAATCGGGCATCTCTTAATTTGAATAATTTGTTATTTTGTGTATTTTGTTTATGCGCCATGCGTTTTTTAGCCAAACTGGTTCCATTCGTGTCGCTAGCTAGAGTCTCTCTGTCACTGATTTGGCCAAAAGGTTAAAGTTGACTACAATGCCACCTGCTTTCTGCTTTCCTCGTCGTCAGAGGGAGATGCAAGCCTGGCATTAACTCGCTAATAATACAAATTTCACCGATGTCGTCGTCTTCGTGGCTTCCCTATGATATGTATTTTTTGTTTCTGGCTTTTTGGACGCTTTGTTTATTAATAAAAGCGCATAAAGCATATGGTCTTACGTAAAGAGGCAGGCAGCCAGGCTGCTGTTGCGGCTTCTGCTGCTCGTGTTGCACTTGGTGATGCGGCTGACGATGGCGATGACATAATGTCCGCACAGCCAGTTCCTTATTGCCTCAGGAGGGGGTGGAGGAGGGTGAGGGCTACACGCCTCTGTGTCGCTCTAAGAAAGTGCAAGTTGAAAATGTGATTTCTGCCAACTATTTCTTACTGTGTGCGCTTGTCGCTTAAGTCTTTTGTTTCGCCAGAGCGAGCTTCTGACAAAAAAAGGCAGAAAACGCGACACTGACAAATGGCAAATTCTTTACGAGGCCAGCAGCCCAAAAGCAAGACAAACAAACCAAACAGATAAGCAGACAAACAAACGGACATAAATTTTATTGACATTATGAACAAGATCGCGGCTTGTAGGAAATGCTTGATCTGGCGGCGCTCCGGCACTGGAACGGAAGTGGTGCGCACTCAACTGTTGAAATCTGGCATTGCAGCCGCTCAAGAATAATGGTTATATGTTCTCATTCGTGTTGCTAATGACTCAGCAACAGCAACAGGCGCAGCAGCAGCCGCAGCAGCAACAGCTGGCTGGCATTTTATGTGGCTCACGTTTGGGACATTAAAAAGTCAAACTGCAAATGCATATTGTTTCATAACTCAGTGGGTGCGTCAAGAAATCACTGGAGGTTGCTTAATTCGTCAAGACAGACTGCTTAAAGGACTACGTAAAGTTGTTCCTAAAATTATGTTAACCAGGAACTGTTGGAAGCCAGTTCTAGGGCTACAGTCAGCGGTAACCCGTTTTGTGGAGCGTCAATAGCCTTTTCAGGGTTATGCGGCAACAGGAAGTAATTGCCAGACCAGACCAGGAGAACCGCAAGTCCAGACCAGACCAGACCGGAGGAATTCTTAAGTACCGCACCCAAAAGTCGCTCCCTCTCGGATAATTGGTAATTGGAGTCGCATTTTCTTGGCCGGTTCGGATCAATTGTTAAGTTCTGGCCAGGCCCAACTAATTAGTTGGCTGAAACTGGCTTAAACAGATTATTCTAATTGAGAGGTGAACCAGTTTTGATCGGTTTCGAGTACAACTGACTCATGGCACTGCCCCTTTTGTCTTGTGGACTCTCTCGATTGGACTCGTTTGGCAAAGCTGGGAAAGATTGCGCAAGGTCGTCTGGTCAGGACAGGTGCTCACGAGTTGGCTTAATTGTGACGTAGGCAACTGGACCACAAATCGAAGTAGTTTTAGCCACAAAACCAAAACAACACACAGGCCTACACAGGCCATTTCACAAGGGGATTTTCTTCAATTTTCTTTCAAAATTTGTATATTTTTTGTATGTTTACTTTTTACACATTTTGTGTGTCGGCATCGGTTTAGTGTGTGCTTTATTGCCTGTGCGGTGCTGCGCTGCGTTGCGCCTCACCTTGAGCTTAATTTCGGTCAAGCAAAAAGGCGTTCAAGATTTAATTAAATATAGCAGCTTAAAACGGGCGGCTCGACAAACGGCCAGACAACATCGATTCGACAGCCGTTAAAATGGTAAATGGTCGAAAGCGCAAAACTGAAAACTTAAAACCGAAGACTGAGCATTGAGCACTGAGCTCTGAGCTCTGAAAGCCGAAACCACATTTAAATAAATCGCACTTCAAATGAGCGAATAAATAAACTGCATTTCGGTGGCCTTTCCCCCGCCCCAAAAAACGAAAGACTTAAGCGACGAACGCGCGACCGAAGAGTTGTTGCAGCCGCGTATGATTAATGCAACATTTTCGCAATTTGTCTCGCCTGTTGAAAATATATTGAGGGAGCCTTCACAAGCGGCAACAAAAGCCAAGAAATTTACGCAAATGAATTGCGATTTCTGTGATTTTTGCGCTTTCTGGCTTTCCAGCAAGTGAAATCCACAATCGGTAAATGTTTTATGATTGCAGATACCCATTATTCGAAGAGTTACTACTCTTCTACAAATATTTAAAACTTTATTAGATTTATCTACTTAAGCAATGGGTATTAGAGAGGCCGTCTCTTGTGGAAAATTTCATTTTCTCGCAGTTTTCTTTTTTGCGCAAGACAATTGAACAAAATCCAATCATGCTGGTGGAATGCAGTTGGCTTGTCTCTCCACTTGTAGTCCTCCTCCGCCCGCTCCAGGCCCCCTATTTATTTCTATTATTTATTGACTTTTATTTGGTGCTGTCGTAACCGCAGACTTTGGTGCGGCTTTCGGGGCTTTTCAAACACAATCAAAACATGCGGAGCTTAAACTGAAACCAAAGACTTGGCGATTTTTTTTTTCGAAAAGCCAAGAAAGAAAAGCAAAATCTATAGATACACAGAGAAAAGTTGGGGTTTTGATATAGATAATAATAAGTTATTTGAAGAGGCATTAAAATAAATTCCTTTAAAAAGTTTAAAAGGTTCAATAATTTCTAAGATAAATCTTGTAAATAATAAAAGATGAATACTTTCAACTGTGTATAGCCCCCTTGAGTTGGCTTTGCTCCAGCGAGCCGTTAGACGACGTTGCTCACCAGCTAATGATACAACAACACACACAACATAACACACAATGGACATTTGTAGAAAACTTTGCAATTCAACTTGGACAATTGCCCCGAAATGGACTGGCCAGCCAAAATGGCCAAAACGACACTCACACTTTACGCAAGCACCTCGAAGGAGTGCCGAAAAGAATGCTATCCAGGAGATGATTTGCTAAAATTTCCAAAAAGTAATAAAAAGTAAAAACCATATGGATGCTAACTTTCGGTTCTGGGTAATTTTCGCTTTCGCACATGGAAAATGAAAGGCATTTGAGAGCCGGAGCTCGTTTTCTCTTTACGGTGGTCGATCATTCAGTTTATTTCCGTGCGCCCAGTTAAGATCCAAAAGCGAGAGCAAACCAGTTGGTCCAGTTCAGACTTAAAATATATATATATGTTTTATATGGTATATAGCTGACTAACTAACTGGCCGATCAGTGGCCACACGCGATAAGGAACCTTTTGCGTGCTGCTTTTTTAATGCTTTTTAATTTATGCGCCGTTTGCCGTTTTAGCCGCTAAGACATTTAAAATGAATAGCCCAAAACAAGGCCCAAACCAGTTTCACTTTTTCGCTTTTGTGGCCTAAGCCGGGCTTAGCTCGAATTAGTCGGCCGCGATGCCATCTCTAGCGGGATCCGCTCAGAACATGCCCAAAACCGGGATTTATAGGCAATCCGTTTTGGCAAGCTGTTGGACCATTAATTTTGGCCAACTCGACCTTGAGCGTTCCCGGCCCGTCTTAGTGAGTGGCACTCGGAGCTTTCTAACTGTAACTCCGTCTTACGTTAGCAATTCGACTCACGATTGTGCCAATTCGAGGCATTTCTCCGGCTCTTTAAGCCATTACGACTAACTGTTTGCTGCCTGGCGGCGATTTGCATAACCCGGCGAGTTGTGTAAGGTGTTCTTAATGGAGATGCCCGCAGAATGGCTAATAAGGCGGCTTGAGGCGGCTAATGGACTGACAGGGCTTGAAAGGCACTATTTGGTTTATAAAGAAGTTTACGAAAAAAAATACACAAATTCTCTGACCTACATAATGCAAAACTTTAGAAAGAAATATACCAAAATATCGTTTGGTACTTCCAAACGATTAAGCTTTAATATTTATTCTAACTAATTTGTAGTAGAGCCCTAGGTGCCTTCTCCATAGATTCTATGTTACCTTCTTTTACTAATTATTCTCTCTCTTAATTGTAAAATATTTTTTAAAAACTACTGCCTCCCATATCAGAGATCCCAGTGAATGGGAGGCCATCGTCTCAAAGTCGAGAGGCACTTCAAAACCAAAAAAAAACAGACACAAAAATTGGCTCCAAAGTACAGGTGAAGATGTCAGACAGTTTTTAACAGTTTTATGAGACAATCTGTCTCGTGTGAACAATACATGGGCCGTATAATTTGGGCCGCAGACAGACAACTTGAATAATTATGAACAGAGCTGGCTAATTGTTAATTAGTTGGCCAAGCAATCGAGTCACATCTTCGACGAAGCTATTGTTTTGGGCCAGGTCGGGTCGTTAACTGGGTCAATGTCACGACGTGCTCATCCATCCGCTTTTTTTGGGTGGGCGCCTCACCGGCCGTCAAGTGGCCGAAAAGGGTTTAACCGTCTCTGACCTCTGCTTGAAGTGCGATCCCGCGTCAGCGACCTTCACTCTGACCCAATTTGGGGGCAACAAGTGCCACGTAATTTGTTGAAAGTCGACGTGCCCCCTCACATAAATCAGACCGTGTATGAGATTATTAATCGTACATCAAAGCATAAGCCCGTGTGATTAATTGCCTTTTGTTTTTTTTGTTTCTTTTTTTTCTCCCCCGCAGTTTCCGCCGCGGTTACTTCGAATCGCATTTGTGATATGCCTGCTGATTGTCTTGCTCTCACCTTCCACCGACAGCGCACAGAGTAAGTAAAAGAAATTTCTTGAAAAAAATATATAAACGATTTTTAAAAGGATTGCCCGACAAATCAAAAAAAATAAGGGGACACCCGGGTTTGAACCGGGGACCTCTCGATCTGCAGTCGAATGCTCTACCACTGAGCTATATCCCCCCTTATATAAAGACCGTCAATTTAGCCAACAAAACAAAAAAGTCTGAGGCACAGCAACAACGATCCATGTCTATTTTTAGTCTTAGATATTTTTTTATTCTTTTGTAGTAGGCGGAAGTTGATAATAATTTCATTTTCTGCTTTATTTTCTCCCTGTTGTGATTGCCACTATCTGTAGCCCTATCAAGCAACATCCACTTCACCAATTGCTTGTTGCCTAACCCAAAAAATGTATGTAATTTTATAGAGAAAGGAAAAGGGCGTGATTGCCAAGCCCACTAAGGAAACATTTAAGATAATTTGAACATAATGACGCTTAAGGAGACAAAACAGAAGTCATTATAATTCAATTAACAATCAATTTGTGGAAAACTAATTAAAAATGCAAATCATTAAGGAGCTACAAAACAAGCTTGGTTAGTTTAATGCTATTGATAGTTAAATTTCCTATAATCTACTTGCTAAACAGCATTTTTTTAAGTTTTAAAAGAGAAAAAGTAAAGTTACTAAGAAAAAGACTCAAAAATCTTATGTACAACCGATATATGGAATATTCCTTATATAAAAAATGATTACAGGTCACTTTTAATATGCAATTTGTAAAACTAAGCATTTGTTTTATTTAGGAAAATTAAAATAAAAAATAAAAACAAGTAAAAAAACAAGGGGACACCCGGGTTTGAACCGGGGACCTCTCGATCTGCAGTCGAATGCTCTACCACTGAGCTATATCCCCATGTTGAAACGCGCCGGCTAAGTTGCTACTTGTGCGGACAACACAGCGAACATGTTCGATACGACCGCACTTGACAAAGCAACCCTTACCTTAGAGTTATAGTAAAAATGCAATAAATAAAATAAATATAGTTTTTAAAAATAAAAACGTTTATATTTTTATGCAAAAAACAAAAGAAAAACTATTTGTGATGTGGATAGCGTCTTTTGTCCAATCATCTTTTAAGTAAAGCAGTTTTACAAACTAGTTAAATAAAAATTAATAAATAAAAAGTTTAATATATTTTTTAAGATACAAAAAAGTTACTAAGGGGACACCCGGGTTTGAACCGGGGACCTCTCGATCTGCAGTCGAATGCTCTACCACTGAGCTATATCCCCATGTGTTTCTTCGGGCTCCAACGGAGCTCGCAAGAGCTAATCGTCCTCCTTTTGGTCTCTAAAATTGCTGTATTCCCCAAGATAGCCAAGAAAATGATAAGAATTGATCAGGAAAAATAAATAAAAGCAGGAAAAACAAAAAAGTTTACCAAGGGGACACCCGGGTTTGAACCGGGGACCTCTCGATCTGCAGTCGAATGCTCTACCACTGAGCTATATCCCCAGTTGGAGCAAGCGCGGCTAAACAGCCACTCGAGGCGCGTAGCGAGCACCAGCGAGACCTAAAAATAGCACCAGACGAAGGCGGTCTGTGCCCCACCCTCCCATACAGCCCTCTGGCCGTTTGGCGTGGGCTTGCGCAGTGTAAATGGCAACTGAGAAATGAGAAAATGCTAAAAACATGGCCATTAAATGAAATATTTAAACAGGTTTAGCAATAATTTCGTATTGTTATTTCTGCTGCAACAATTCCACTTCATTTAGCGAAATTAAGTAGCCAGAAAAACAGAAACCTGTGTTTCATTAATATAGACAGCAGTGTAGGCATGCTTGTGTTTGAAGACAAGAGTAATCTACATGCAATATCTTAATTATTATTGTGATAGACCGAATTAAGTAAATCTCAACGTCACGACTCGACGTTTGCCACCAAAAGCGAACCGCAGATGCCGATCGATGGACACATTAATTCGAAATTATCGGCACTCGTCGATCGCAAGTGGTTGACAATCCATCGCAATTGCCATTACGATCCAGCGATTCGGATCGAGATTGCGACAGGCCCGTCATTACCATTGCCACATGGCGGCATGAGGTGGTTGACAGGTGCCAACCACTAACTACTGTTGCCCCTGTACACCTGAGAGGTACTCTAAGCCGTGAGCAATGCATTCCGGGCAAGGTCAAGATGATTGCTTTGTGGGTCAAATGTGGGCGGATCACTCCAAATGCCAAAGGGGTCTTAACAGAAAATATTTTCAAATACTTACACCTATCTTATATTATCTTAGCCAAGACCCGCCGGCGTTTGCGTCGCCCCCCCACCTCCTCGATCGAGACCAAAAAGTCCACGGAAGCCCCAGTGGCGGAGAAGCGTATTGATCAGATCACCGCCTCCACCACCACCAGTGCCCGGCGCACCCGACTCCGCTCCAAGGCGAAACTGGGCGCAGCTGCTGCCGGAGCAGCCGCCGGAGCTACTGCCCTGGTGGCCAGCGGATCCTCGCTGAAGGGCAAGAAGACCAAGGTAGACGATGGAACGCCCAAGATCGTGTGCTACTACACCAACTGGTCGCAGTACCGTGTCAAGGTCGGAAAGTTCGTGCCAGAGGACATTCCCGCCGATCTCTGCACCCACATCATTTTCGCCTTTGGCTGGCTGAAGAAGGGCAAGCTGAGCTCCTACGAGTCCAATGATGAGACCAAGGACAACGTCCCCGGACTGTATGAACGAATGATGAATCTGCGCAAGGCCAATCCCAAGCTGAAGGTGGGTTTTCGAGGAGTAATCTACTGATTCTTTTACTCAATCTCTTTCTTTCGATTCTTTAGATCCTTCTGGCTATTGGTGGATGGTCTTTCGGCACCCAGAAGTTCAAGGACATGTCCGCGACTCGCTACACCCGCCAGACGTTCGTTTACTCCGCCATTCCCTTCCTCCGCAAACGCGGCTTCGACGGCCTGGACATGGATTGGGAATACCCCAAGGGTTCCGATGACAAGAAGAACTTTGTACTGCTGCTGAAGGAGCTGCGCGAAGCCTTCGAAGCTGAGGCCCAGGAGCTGAAGAAGCCTCGCCTCCTGCTCTCCGCCGCCGTGCCCGTGGGTCCCGACAATGTCCGCGGTGGATACGATGTCCCTGCCATTGCCAGCTACCTGGATTTCATCAACCTGATGGCCTACGATTTCCACGGAAAATGGGAGCGCGAAACTGGCCACAACGCCCCGCTCTATGCCCCCTCCTCTGACTCCGAGTGGCGAAAGCAGCTGTCTGTGGACCACGCCGCTAGTTTGTGGGTGAAGCTGGGCGCTCCCAAGGAGAAGCTGGTCATCGGCATGCCCACCTACGGACGCTCCTTCACTCTGGCCAATGCGGACAAGCACGGCCCTAACGCCCCCGCCTCAGGCGGCGGACGCGAAGGTGTCTACACCAAGGAGAGCGGTTTCCTGGCTTACTACGAGATCTGTGAGATGCTCCTGAACGGCGCTGTCTACGTTTGGGATGAGGAGATGAAGGTGCCGTACCTGGTGGACGGAGATCAGTGGGTCGGCTTCGATGACGAGCGCGCCATCCGTAACAAGATGCAATGGATCAAGACGAACGGCTTCGGAGGCGCCATGGTCTGGACCATCGACATGGACGACTTCAAGGGTGAGGTGTGCGGGGGCAATGTCAAGTACCCCCTGATTGGAGCCATGCGAGAGGAGCTGTTGGGCATTTCCCGAGGCAAGGAGGCCAAGGATGTTAACTGGACGGCAGTGGCGGCCACTTTCGAGGACATTGAAGAGGTATATTTCCTATCAGGGTGTATGAGACTCTATCTAACAATTGTGGTTTACTTTCAGAAACCGGAACCCATCAAGATCTCGGTGGATGAGATCCTCAACAAGGTGCGAAAGCCCCAGGTCCAGAAGAAGCAGCGCATCAAGGGTGGTTCCAATGCTATTGAAACGAATTGTAAGTTTTTTACTTCCTCCTGTGGAGAATAAGAATACATGTATCCTTTCTCCTTGAACAGCTCGCCCTGCCCAGGTGTTCTGCTACCTGACGAGCTGGTCCGCCAAGCGTCCAGGTGCCGGAAAGTTCCAGCCCGAAAACATCGATCCCAAGCTCTGCACCCACATCGTCTATGCCTTCGCCACGCTCCAGGACTACAAGCTGACGGAGGCCACCGACGATGACCCGGAGAACTACGAGAGCGTGATTGCCCTGCGAGATGCCAATCCTGACCTGCAGATCCTTTTGGCCATCGGAGGATGGGCCTTCGGCTCTACGCCCTTCAAGGAGCTCACCTCGAACGTCTTCCGCATGAATCAGTTCGTCTACGAGGCCATCGACTTCCTGAGGGATTACAAGTTCAATGGATTGGATGTCGACTGGGAGTATCCTCGTGGTGCCGAGGATCGAGTGGCCTATGTCAGTCTGCTGAAGGAGCTTCGTGTGGCCTTCGAGGGAGAGGCCAAGTCCTCTGGACTGCCGCGACTCCTTCTTACCGCCGCCGTGCCCGCCTCCTTCGAGGCCATCGCTGCCGGTTACGACGTGCCCGAGATCTCCAAGTACCTGGACTTCATAAACGTGATGACCTACGACTTCCACGGCCAGTGGGAGCGCACGGTGGGCCACAACTCGCCTCTGTTCGCCTTGGAATCGGCCACCGGTTACCAGAAGAAGCTGACTGTCGACTACAGTGCCCGGGAGTGGGTGAAGCAGGGTGCTCCCAAGGAGAAGCTCCTCATCGGCATGCCCACCTACGGACGCAGCTTTGAGCTGGTGAACGACACCCAGTTCGATATTGGATCCCCCTCATCCGGCGGCGGCAAGGCTGGCAAGTTTACCAACGAAGCCGGTTTCCTCAGCTACTACGAGGTGTGCTCCTTCCTGGCGGCCGACAACACCACCCTCGTGTGGGACTCGGAGCAGCAGGTGCCCTTCGCCTACCGCGGCAACCAGTGGGTGGGCTTCGATGACGAGAGATCGCTGAAGACCAAGGTGAGAGTGGTGGAGAGATAATCGTAGTACAGGTATAGTAACTCACCTTTCATTTTCCAGACCGAGTGGCTGAAGGAGCAAGGCTTTGGCGGCATCATGGTGTGGTCCATCGACATGGACGACTTCTCCGGCCGTTGCGGCAACGGCAAGTACCCCCTGCTGACAGCCCTTAGCGATGAACTGAAGGACTACAAGGTGGCGCTGGAATACGATGGACCCTATGAGTCCCATGGCCCCCGAGGAGCCTACACCACAAAAGATCGTAAGCTCAGTCTTCCTTCTAGACCCAAACATAGTATTAATCCTGATTTCGTTATCCAGCTCATGAGGTGACCTGTGCCGAGGAGGATGGCCACATCAGCTACCACAAGGATTGGGCCGACTGCACCCACTACTACATGTGCGAGGGCGAACGGAAGCACCATATGCCCTGCCCGGCCAATCTGGTGTTCAATCCCCAGGAGAATGTCTGCGATTGGCCCGAAAACGTTGAAGGATGCCACGAGCCGACGGAGGCGCCAGCCTAAGATCCCCTCCAGAAAACTTTGGAGCGGGACGATGGACCCTTTCCCAACTTTTTGTTAATATTATATAAACAAAATCGATGCCCTAGGATAAGCCGTAAAGTGAAACTGCCACGAAACTCTTTTGCTGCCGCCCCCCAAAACTCCACTAACTATGAAAAAATACTCGAAAACTTGCTAAATTTCGGCTGAATTTTTTTAAAACTAAATATTAGGTCTAACTAGTGTTGTAAGTAGTTTTTATGTCTTAGTTACAAATTCGCACAGAGAAGGAACTCAAAAACCACAAACTACATACTCTACTACCCAGCCGTGTACTAACTTTCGTATTTGACTTTAAATTCGAGGTAAAAAAAAGGTTTATATGGAAGAAGCGTCCGACCCTTCTATATAGAAAACTGTGATAATCATAAGAAAGACCAACAACCAGATCGGCCAGAAGTCACTATTCAAAATTATCTCCAAAATAAAAAAAGACAGTAGTTTCCGCTAATACTATATAAATCCTTGCTCTGCTTTATCCCTAAAATAATAATCCCTATCCGAAAGAAAGTAAACCCACACAGGCACAGAAGGAAATTGTAAATTTTCCAATTAAAACAGTAATTTTGTATTATAGAGTTGTAATTATGTAGTTAAAATAAAAACTATTAAAAAAACACATTAATTATTGTTTCTTTTCTTTTAAGCTAAGTGATTTATTTATTATGGCCCCAGTCTGACGACAGGGCACTACTAAAAAATTATTTTAGACTCATTAGAGTGCTCCTCTCCACGGAAATCTTTAGTAAAAGGCGAAAGATTTATTCGACAACTGAAGAGAAGCCAGAGTACTATTGCCACCTCTCCATTGAGAACTACATGGCGCCTGCGCTAGAAGCAGTTGGGAATTATAAGCAATGCAAAAGGCTGTCTGTAATAAAACTGTTGCATACTTTTAAGGGTTCACACATAGATGGAGCCACTAAGAAATCTGGTAGTTATATTCAAGGGTTGTTTTAAGAATTATTAAAGAACGTAAAAAATAAAAACATCTTCGTTTTAAAAATTTTATTATTTTTTTTTATTGGTTTTCTCAAAAAGTTTTTGTTTTTTACAATCTGTTTTATTTTACTCGTTTGTTTTTGTTTCTTTCGTTTTTAATTAAATAATTAGTCTTACGTTGATGTACACAATAATTTAAAAAAATAAAGTACGCATGACAAACGAAAGAAAACGTAAAATTAGCCATAAATCACACTAAAGCTGGTAAACTAACCGCAGCATCTACAGAGTTGAGAATAATTTCCGATTTAACACTTAGGATAGAATTGCCAAAACGTTTAAAAATAGTTACTTAGAGGAATTATGAGCCGGACTCTGTAAAATGTAATTCTTAAAACATTCGACTTTATATATATATGTATTTGTATGTATTTATCTTTGAATCTTTGTTTTTTTTTTGTTTTTTTCGTTTTTTTTTTGCAACAAAAATGATATCAGAATGCAGTTTTCAAGTGTTTCGAACTAAAATTGACCTTAAATATGTAAAAGTTCCATTCTTTCTTGTATGTCTTCTTGTATGGTGGTGGTGGTGGTGCGGAGTAGTTGAAGCCTTTTAGTTAAATTCCCTCATCCTCTTCTCATTTCGGTGATATGCGTTCGCGCAGGCGCAACGCGACTTCCGGTCTGTATACATATATATAGCGAATAAAATTCGGAAAATCGGTTCTGTGGGGTGTTGTTTGTATAACTAGAGACAGACTTTCATTAGCAAAATATTGTACTCGGATTTTCAGCGCGTGCTTTGCATCATATATCGTTTATATATCGTGAGAGATGATCGGCAGATCGGCGACTTGTGTATATATATAGTGTGTATACATATATATGGACCAACGTAAAATAGTTCAAATCTTGTTTTTTTTTTGTAGATATTGCATGCCAAAGACTCTTTTTTTTGGTTTTCAAAATGGATGTATGTACATATCACGCTATGTGTGGCCTAGACAGTTAATTTTGTTTCAATTTTAGATGCGCTTTCGGTTTCTATTAGAGTTTCTGATTTTCAGAGTTATATATCTTCAGAGTTGAGTATCTCTCGATGAGCTACTTTCTAGAGTCGCGCTGCTGTGCGTCGCTTTTCCATGTTCCATGAACCAACATTTAGATTTCTTTATAAATACATAGTTTCACTTTTCCTTTCCTTTTTTTTTTTTTTTAGCTTTTTAAATAGTATTTAGAAAATTTGTGTTTTCTCTTCTTATTTTTTTTTGTTTGTTTTTGTCTCATTTTTTTTTAAAACATTTTGCTATAAAAAATACACAGTTGAAAAATAAAAACGTTTCTTGGTTGTTGTTTCGTCTTTTTTTTTTTTACCATTTATCGGGTTTCAACTGTATGGGGGAGCGGGGGGAAAAAGAGGCAGACATGCTTTATAAACATTTGATGTGGTTCCTTGTTCGCTTTCTTACTTTCTCTACGTTTCTTTCTTACTTTCTCCTATCCAATCTAGTCCTTAAACCATTTAACTCTGCTCTGAATTTTTTATATTTTTTTGTTGTTGCTCAACGAATTTTACTGCAAAAGGTTGCAATTTCTCTTATTTGTTTTTTTTTTTGTTGTCATTACAGTTATTTATTGTTGCAAAATTTTACAATTTTTTTCTTTCGATTTTTTTTTTGTGTTTTTAATACATATATTTATAAATACTTTCATCCTCTCTTATCTCTGTAAAAATAGATCCACATTTCCTCAGCTCTTTCGTGTGATTTCTTATTTTTTTCTTTTTAACTTTTTGCTGTTTTTTTTTTTTGTTAACAAATTGTTTTCAAATTTTTTTTTGTTTTGTTTGTTTTTGGAGAGATTTCGTTTTCAAAAAAGTGTTTCTTCTGTCGGGATCGCTACGCTTCACAAGAAGCTTGCGTTTTTTTTGAGTTGCATGTTGATGGTTTATTATTATTTTGTTTTGAATTGTGGGTGTTTCTTTTTGTATTGTTTTTTTAAATGCCTAAAATTAAGAGCTAACATAACATTGGATATCATCAGTTTTCTTTCATATTATTTTTGTTTTTTTTTTTGTTTTAAGTTTTGGCTTAACAATACATCTTTTTTCGTATTTTTTTTTAAATTGTTTTATGGTTTCTATTTAGCCAGCGTGGGCCAGCAAAAGTGTCTTAGTCGTAATGAATGTTCCGCTTATTAGTTAAACCGTTTAAATCGTAGTCGCTTCTTATGTTTGTGGTCGTTTGGGAGGAGTGGAGTTGGTGGCTAAGTGAGCTGCGCGTGTTTTCAGTTACAGTTTCAGTTTCCTGGTTGAGGTGCTCAGTTGGTCGTAGACATCAGTTCGGAGAAGGCCTTCTCCAGACAATTCTTGAGTTCAGAATAGGATACAATGAGTACCGATTGCTCATCGCGCGACATCAGTTGCACCTGCAATATTATAATGATTGTTTAGAATAGATCTCTAAGCCGTCTGGGGGATCTCCACTCATCCGACTTGACTTACGCGCTCTATGGAGCCAGCATCCAGCTTGTTGAGGGATTGTACAATATGTGCGTGATCTAGCCAGGGCCGGCCATCCTCGGTTACGGAATGGAACAAATAATCGCGGAATAATTTCAACATGTATCTATCACCAGTCTCTGACCAAGTAAAGTCCAGATTAAAGCTTTAATTAAAAATTAAACCGAGTTAGTTAAACTGTTAAAATATTAATGTTAAATATCATTTTGGCTTACTTGGGCCGCTCATTAATGCTATTTAATTTAACCAAAATGCGATATAACCGCCCGTTCTCCATCTCCTTGGCCAGCTCATCCTCCTGCATGTCTATCTGGCTTTGCAGAGCATCCAGCTGGGTATAGAAACGGGCTCCAATCATAGGCATCAGATCGGTCACCGAGCGACGATTATTAGTGGTAAAGAGGTAACTAAAAAATAGAAATAATTAACTAAAGTTTAGCTTAAAATTAAGAATAATACTTACACAATAAAGTTACGCAGATCGGTGGAGTAGTTTCGGGTGACCATGTCGATGCTGGACTGGACATTGTCGCGCTGTACGGATTGCAGACAGCGGCAGGCCAAAGCTAATACTAAGCGACCCAGAGCGGTCAGATCATCCTGGAAGGATCATAAATATAAAAATTTTTTCAATAAAAAATAAGGCCATCCTGCAGTACCTGCTGGTGCATATTAACCAAGGCCAGTGGATTGGCGGCGTTGGGGTCGAATTGCGTGATATCCGAGATGCAGCACGAACTAAACCTAACCCTTTTTCCCGTAACTATAATCTTGGTGGGATCCAGGACCCTGAAATCGAGAAAGGTTACTATATGTTGGGAGGATCTAACCAATCTCTACTTACTTGCATGCTAGACCCGCCTGGTGGATGGCTCTAAGGCCGGCGGTTAGCTGCATGATTATCGACCAGATGGTGGACTCCGGCAGCAAAGGTCCGCTGTTCGATCGCTGTATGTTGCTCTTATGACTGGAGGTTAAAGATAGTACGGTCTTAGAGAAGCATAGAGACTCATTTAGATAAGGAGACTCACCTGAAGGGGCGGGCATCGCCTTGGAATGGATCAGTGTAACCGTTGGTATCGGGCGCTGGTGTAAAGTACTTGGCCAGCAATGTCTGTGAGCCGGGATAATAGTCGTAAACTAATACTAAAGCTGCAAGGTTAGAACAAGTTATAATCAGAGTACATTTTTGAGAGCTTACTAAGAGTGATTAAAATATGTGTGATAAGGTGGAAGTGCTTGACTTAAGATTACAGATATTTTGGTGCTTGGAGGTCTTTTTTTAGATTTCTTACAACCTTTATATGGTCCTAGTCCACAATAGTCCCTAATTACCCTAATTTCCACTTACAATTATCACCAAATGCTTTCGTCGTAAACACCTCCCGTAATTGCACCACATTCGTGTGCTGCAGCTTCTTCCACATCTCCACCAGCGTCATGCACTTGGTCGACTGCAGGCGGAACCCTGAAAAGGCCACAAGTGGCATACATATAATTATATAATTGTTTAATTAAACAAATGGCTCTGGGAGGGAGGACTCACCGTGCAACCTTCGCAGGCAGTACTTGTAGCCTGTGGTATTGTGCGTGGCCCGGTACGTGCTGGCGGGTAGCGTTAGCTTGGCATGCAAGGGCTGGGCCGGCGGTTCCAGGGGATACAGAGCATGGTAGTTGTCCACCTCCATTGGGAGGGCGTGCTGGGCCGCCTCCGCTGCGTCCATGATCAGGTTGGAGATCTCGTTGCGGGCAAGAATTTCGGAGCGCATCTCGTCGGGTATGAAGAAGGCGGACTCCAGCTGCGTTTTCGGGTGCATGGTCATCACATTGGAGGCCGGACCCGGATAGACATGCCCCGTGTAGAACATAGTTGGCGGCACCCCGCCAACAGCGTTCATCGGCGCCACGGCACTGACGCCGTGGTGGGCGGGATGAGTGGTGTCCACCACCACTGAGTTCACGACCGGCTGGTTGTTCTGTGCGTTGGCAGTTGGATAGAAGTAGATGGTGCCGCCGACGTTCTCCTGGACAAGATATTTCAGGAGAAGATTAGCTAATGTCTGAGACTCCCAGAGAGGGCAGCACTCACCTGATGCACACTTGCCGGCATAGTGGTGGGTATTGGTGAGGCTCCGTGTGGTGTCATGCCGTGGGGTGGGGATTTCTCACCCGGACCACCGCCACCGCCCGCCAGCATGGCCGCCGTGGGTGATTCCTGGCGCAGCATCGCTCCGTGACCCCGGTTCTTTAGTGGTGTCTGGGCGGACATGCTGCTGACGAAAGGCGCTGCAGCGGGATTCGGTGGACCGTTGCCACTTATAGCTATAGGTGCTGATACTGCTCCTCCTCCTCCCAGAGGTTGTTGTTGTTGTTTTTGTTGTTGCTGCTGCTGTTGTTGTTGCTGCTGTTGTTGTTGTTGCTGTTGTGCAATAGTGACAGTGGCAATGGAGGCAGATTTCTGCATGGATAGCATGGAGGTGTTGCCGCCGTTGGTCTGTTGCTGTTGTTTGGTAATGGTGGCTGATGCGGCGGCCACCGATGATGTGGTAACTGTTGGTGCACCTGCGGCGGCGGCGGCTGCTGCTGCGGCTGCTGCTGCTGCGGCGGCTGCTGCGGCCGCTGCTGTTAACCCATTAACGCCATTGAGTCCATTACTCAATTGCATAGGAGCGCTGTGATATGGTGGATAGAAGTTGGGGGACGAGTTGATGCGCGTTGGAATGAACTCGGGCGACTGTGGTGTGACCTAAAGGAGGAGGTAAAAGGTTAAAGGTTAGTATAAATCCAAAAACTAACAACAAACATACATATACAAGGATACTATTCTATCACTACCACTACTATTAACTACAGTAGACTCCCACTAGGACTCCCACAAACTTCTACTACCACATTTAAAGCACTTTTCAGATCTACGAGGTGGTTACCTGAGACTTTTTATTAACCGCCATGGGCGAGTCCAGGTTAAGCAGTGAGAACCCGTTATTCAGCCCATAACCGTTCGATGTGGCGACATTCTGACGGTTCTGTGTGTGTGTGACCCCGAAAGTTCAAAGAAATGAAAAGAAAAACGAAGAAAAGTTTTAGTTTTCTGAAGTTTCATCGGTTTGATCTAAAGGGGTTTTTTAGGGAGTGTATCTCACAGATACGTATCACTGTCTGGAGTGATTGTTTGACTTAGATAATGTTGGTATTATCATTTTAACCTTATCTGGAGGGGGTATTCGAAACACCTCACCTCGTTTCAGGGGCTGGCAATCATTATTTTGGAAAATAAATATTATTTTTAATATTAAATATATGTATTTAGAGATTACTTCTTTGGTAACCTCAATTAAAATTGCTGATCTGTGCATATATTCTATATATATTTTTTCGCATTAACACACTTCCATGGTTATTTTATTTTTTAAGAATTCATTCCCCATTCCAACACAAAATTGATATTTTTAAAATGTATATTGTACCACTTATATGGCACTTAAATAAAAACTAAAACTCGGTCAAGTGTATATTATGTGCCGATGTGTATGGAAGGCCGATGGAATTGAAATGTTTCAACCGAAAAACAAATAATAATAAAAAAAAAACATAATTAAAAATACTTGAAGCAGTCAGCCATTCCAGCTGTTGACTTTCCTCCCAACAGCTGTTTTTGTTGTGGGCGTAGGGGGTGTGGGTGTACTGGAACTTACCATATAGGTGGCGAGTTTACTCTCTGAAGGTATACCATTCGATGGCGAGAAGAAAATTGGATCCATAGCAGCCGTATCTACGAAAAAATAGAGCACAAGAGAATACATATTATAGAGAGTTGCCGGTTATGGATATGATAATTGATTAGAAATCAATTAAACAAACATCAACAGACTATCGGTGTATGTGTGTGTTTGTGTGATAAGCCACCTCCCCCTTCCCAAAAAACCCCATCCCCCTCTACCTATAATTCTTGTTATTTTCCACAGTTATCGATACGACGATAACGCGCCTAAGGCCCCCCAACATTTTTTCAGAGTATGCGCAATATGTGTTGTTGTTGTTGTTTTCGTGGCTCCAAGTTCCAAAGCCGAGACGCAATTTCTTTCCAACAACAACACCACCACCACGAATATCACCTTTAATTTGCATTTCGCACATTTAATAATGGAGTGTTTTGGGGTTATGATGGGATATATACCTTCCGCTCCTATGTCTACAACTTGGAAGCCGCAGCGTCATGACTAACCAACGATTTTGTGCTCTATTTTGTTGCCTTCTTCTTCTTGCTAGCCGTTTTTTTTTTTTTTGGAAAGTTCCCAGAATTTTGAACGTCTCCGGAACCCAGCCGGATATTCGAATACTGAATCAATGCTAAGCCGACTAGTCTGTTTCTAATTCTGAGACTTGAGTCTCATTCTGATTCTCATTTCAAATGCCCTCCCCCCCAAAGGGAAAGTGAAATAAACATGAGGTACCCCCCAATGTCGCGGGGGTATGGGGCCATTGGCTCTTGCCAACGTCCGAAGAGAAATCAAGTGATATTGGCCTTGAATTCGGTGGATATACTCAAAATAAGTAAACTTATGGTCTATATGGAACAGGTTGTATTAACTTTTTAGTTCATTTTGATCTAAAGAGCTATATAGGGGTTCGACTGAGCTATATATTAAATTCGATTTTATTTAAAACACGTACTAAATGTCTGAAAGTTGTTAGAACTAGTTATTACAACTATTTATTAAAGTTCTTTAACTTAAAAGTCTCATTCGTCTTAAAAACTTCTCTAAAATCCAGTATTTTAATCAAATTTTTAAACTTCAAAGGGTATTTAATAGTCTTTATTCCTACATTTTGTTTACAAAATAACAATATAATTTCATTTCGAACGCTTTCGTTTTTGTTGCTGCTGCTGATGCCGTAGAAGCAATATAATTTGTAGCCCGATTTTATTTATTTGACTTAAAATTTGAAAACAAACACAAGAGAAAAGAGAACGCGAAACGTTTTAATTGAATGCCCATGATAATGATGATTGTTATTTGGGTGAGTAGGTGGGAGGAGGGTACACAGGATGGCGAAGGCGAAGAACCTGTTTTTGGCGACACTTTCAAGTTTGACAGTCACAAACAGGTGTTACATGCTTACAGTTTGAGGCGAACTAAGCATGGCTCAGTGTTCAGTGCTTGTGTAACCGTTAAGAACCAAAAGTTGTTTTCACTTTACAGCCGACACTGGATTTTTGTTGTTTTTGTTGGCATGACGTCGGCACAAAACAATAGGCTATAGTATGTATGTTTTGCCAACTACTACTATATAGAAAACCGATGATTATTGGGCTGTTTGCCTTATGCTGCGTTTCGCGGTGAAACAGGCAGACAGCTTTGTTTTGCTTCAAAGATCACGAACGCGTTCATGAAAAAGCCAAACACACACACACACACAGACACAATCAAAACACACGCCACTCTGATATACCCTTTATATACAAATATATATACATATAGTATACTACATATTATAATGGGGAGCAAGCCAAACAATAACAAAGAGTACGTTGTTACGTCACGTAAGTTCATATGTAGATGTGGCAGAGCGGGTGTCGCTAAGTTTACCATTTACCGTTTTCTTTTCGGTTTCTTTTTTTTTTTGCCGTGTGTCACTCGGCTTTTGTTATTGTTTTTTCAACGACACGACAACGACGACAGGCGGAAGGACGGGGGGCCGCTCGGCGGCGTAAGTGTAATGCATATACTCGTATGCAAAAAAAAACCAGGTGCTAAACATCGGACGATCGATCGCGCCACGAACCGAGCGGCAGCGCTGCGTTCTCTCAAATGAAAAGGCAGCCACGGTGCGCGGAAAAAGCCGCTGAATGGGGCCGCGATACGGCACAGTGGGATGAAAAGATAAATTTAACTATAAAATGTATTTATAGTGAGGAATTTAAGGGTAATAAAATAGCATCATTTACAGATTATCCTTTCAGGATATATATTTTTAAGCTTAATATTCTTAATAATCGAACGCATCCCACAGTGCGGCAATGAGAGGACCCAACCGATAATGCGCTCAAGAGAGAGAAAGAGAGTGAGAAGAGAGCTGGCTCCACAGTTACTCTAAAACTGTGTGACGATGACAGACGAGCGGAGAAGACAAAGTGGGCGTGTGGAGTGGGGCTCGCTTGCTCGCCCGCCCGATTAACTGTAAATATGTGGCCATAGCTGCAATTGTTGTTGATATTGCAGCAAGTACAGTAAAGACACAGTCAGGAAAACCCCATGAACAAAATAAAACTTAAAGAAAGCAAATCTATTTTGCTATCTGGAGATAATTCTTATCAAAATTCGAAAATAAATTCAACTTTTTTTTATTTTAAGTTTTTAGTTTTTATGGCTCCACTGTAGTGGGAAAGTTCAAGCTCTGCTGGCACACGCGGAACACTAACAAGAACAATGAAAACCCATTTTTTGTTTGTTTGCTTATTTAGTTCTCTAACCTCAGTCCGCAGTCCCCAAAGTGCCCTCAGTTCGGGGAGACGGCTCTCTCCCCGATTCCCATTCCCATTCCAATGACCCTTATTCCCATTTTTTTTTCCATCGGGGGGTATTGCATTCTGTTTGTTCTCGCGATCATGTGTTTGCCACTCTAACCGAAACGGGTATTTTGCGGATTTTAATTATGCGACTCGTGGGGGCCATGCAGGGGGGCGCTGTGCTGTAAGCGATCATCTGATAAGTTCACATCTACATATAGTACATATGTATGTGTAAGGGGGGAATCGGGGTGGCAATGTAATAACAATAATTGAAACGCATACATTCGTAAATGAAATATTTATAGCCAAGGCTTTGCCTTCATTATCAGCCCAGCCACAAATGCCCAGCCTATCAAGGTACATGATAATACAGAAATACTCCTACAAATGGCTTTTGTAGCTCGGCAGAAGAAATAGGGTCCACCCCATAAAAAAGATCAATAAAAATTGATAAAAAGTATGTACATTTCAAAAGCATGAATGGAAAGATAGCCAAGGAAAGAGGTGGCCTTTTTTATGTACACTTGTTGTTCATATTCTGAATCTATCTAACAGATATATTTTTATCTGTCGGATACATCTATCAGGTTGTCTAACAGACACCTAGTACTAGGTACCTACTGCTAGGTAGCCAATAAACCTCTTAAAATTTGAATAAAGACCTTACCATAAAGATCATACCATCCCTCACGAAAAAGAAATCCTTCACGAAAAATGGGTACAAAAAATCCGAAAAATATTTCGTCTCAGGATTTTGAGAAAAATGGTGGAGAAAATGGTGGAGAATCGATCTAGAAATCGTTTGAGGTACTCCGCTCAAGAATCGGATAAGAATTGGGGAAGATATAGCCATCACAGTGGACCCTATAGAGAAAAACCCATTTTCAAGGAATCCTATCATGAAAAATGGACAAAATATCTGAAAAATATTTTGTCTCAGGATTTTGATGCAGAATCGTGGAGAATCGATCTAGAAATCGGTTAGCGTACTCCGCTTGAGAATCGGATATACATTAGCTGAGATATGACCATCTTCGTTGGCCCTTCATGGAAAGCCAAATTTTGCAAGAGTTCCCTCTAAAAAATTTGATACAAAATCTAAAAAATATTTGGTTCCTAGATTTTGAGACATATGGATAGAGAATTGATCCACAAATCTTTTAAGCTATTTCTTACAAGAATGACATAAAAAACGGCAAAGTTATAGCCTTCCATTTTTAAAAGTCTGAAGGGGAACCACCACAAAAGTCATCACTATAGGCGGCCTATCGAGATGATGAATAAATTAACTCTGCAATAATAGTCAGAAAACCATGTCGCGGGAATCTAAAAGACATGGAAATGCTGGCGACTTCTGTTCTTGGCCGAGTGGGTCTCTAAACTTGGCCAACAGAACCGTAAACCGCTTGTCTGTCAATCGTTTTTAATGCTGATCGTCGCCAACTGGGCTTGAATATTGGCCAGAGCGAGCTTGGAGCGCTGAGTTGGCCAACACAGACGAGTTTGGTTGGTTTTTAAAGCCAGCGGCAACAGCCAAACGGCAAACGGCGGCAACTCTGTGACCCAATTTTGGAGCCACCGCCACCGCCACTGCCAAGCAACAACAGCTGCTTTCAATCATAGAGGCTCCGGCGAACAGCTGTGCAAGCGTTTTTTTTTTTTAAAGCGAGGGAGGTCAGCCACTAGGCCTGTGCCTGGGTCTGGGCATGGGGGGCATGGGGGCCTAGGGGGGGTTAGGCTAAGCTCATACAAAACAATTGCGAAAGCCACAAGCAACAGTCCGAAATGTAAATTGTGTGTAAATATGTACACATTAAATTAAGCCTACTCGTGCCACTCGTCGTATGCATGCGATTTCGATTTCAACATCGCGAAGTTTCAAATTTTTTTTTTTCGAAATGCGGCCAACGAGTTGACAAAGAAAGGTACGAGGGGGGTATGATGGGGAAGAGTGGGCGGAAGAGCACACCAGTAGCGGAAGTTGTAAATGCCAACAGATACTACAGTACAACCTCCATAAACTGAACCACAATATTGCACTATTTCGAACTGCACTTAGTTTGTTAAAAAGAGACATCACTTTGTGAAAGTTCTCTCGCTCCCACACTACTTTCTCATTTTCTCAGAGCGAGAGAGAACATTTGATTGATGGTTTGAACGTCACTTTACCTACCGATGGAGGGGGAAGGGGGGTTAACACATGTCACGCATTATATTCCCGATTCTCAACTGTTTTTATCGCTTGTCTCTTTTTTCTCGAGCACCGTTTACCGTTAAGACCTCCACTCAGACTCGCATATGATAATTACAACAACAACAAGCGGTTGGGGGCCAGGGGCGTAGGTGTCAATGGGGGCGTGTTTTTCGGGTTGGCGATTGACAACGCGCTTCGCTTGCAAACGTTCGCGGCCGCGACTAACATATGAGTGAGTAACCAAAAAAAAATAAATAAATAAAAATTACAGGTAAGCTCGAGAGAGAGAGAGAGAGAGAGCGAGCTAGAGCGGCAGAGCAGAGCGAACGAAAATGGGGGAAAATGAAAAGCAAACACCTCTTCACACACAAAAGCACGAAGCAAAGTGCAAAAGCAAACAGCAAAGCAAATCGAACACTAAAGAAAACAAGAGACAAACACAAACAAAGCCCCCCCTATTGAAGCAAAGCAACAAAACAAAAAGAAATCACAGTTTTAGAGTAACTGGAAAGGGTAAATGTTTTGTAAAGTGGCTTGATGTTGATAAGGGAAATGAAAAATAATCAAAATAATGAGAAAGATAACAGTTAATTTATAAATATATTTTGATTATCAAGGGTTAATATTTAAAGGATTTTATAATTATATTTAAAATAGAAAAACTTAATTTCTTATTAGAGAAATTCAACCTTAAACTTGGCTTAGTAGCTAGAAGCTCTCCATTCTCCATCGTATTCCGGCTGTCACGTGTCCGGGCCACGCACTTGGCCAAATTGCTTTATGAAACAAACTGGGCTAAGCAAGGGTTGGGGTTGGGGTTAGGGTTGGTATCCATTCCCCATATGTATATGCCCCATTAATACTCTATATACCATACAACCATACCATATAATGCGTGTGTGAAGAACATTTCGGCTCAAGGGCACAATGTGATTTTTTGGCAAGCCAACTAGCCAAACTCAGAGACACACAATGGGGCTAGAAAAGGAGAGGGGAACTATTAGCCATTTGCCAAAAAAGAAAAGAAAAAAGAGCCTGCGTGCCAACAAAAGAATGTGTTGCATACTTTGTTGCGCTGCCTCTTGGAATTTCGCGAATGGCAAACAAACAACAACAACAACAAGAAAGTGGTGCAAAAAAAAAAAAAAAACAAAAGTGACAAGTCTGGCACATTAGCGACGTCAACTTGTCTGCAACGACGCTGGCAACGCGGTAATTAAATTATGGGGAACGGCACAGGAAATGAGGGGGGGTATGAGGTGTGAGGCATGAGGTATGAGGCATGAAGGGGTGTACTGAAGAAAGCAACATTTCACGCTAATTTCCCGCTAATGTCGATATAGTAATTTACTAATTTTTAGCAAGACTCTAAGCCGGCTATTTCACGGTTAGATAAGAGCCTAGCTAATCACTGTATTAGGTGAGAAGCCATTAAATAATAATTAATTAGATGTTATTCAGGTTTCATTCTCTTTTATATTCTTTCTATAATCACGTGGATATTTTTAAAAGTTAGGCCTATAATATCATCAATGGACCATCTAATTCATTCATCGAATAATCAGTTTAATCGTGTCATCCCATTCTTGTAGTTGTTTTTAGTTTTCCTTTTGTAGAAACGATCCATCTATCCTTTAACTCTAACCATACTAATTCATTAATCCTTTAATCCGATTAATCGGATCATCGTTCCCAGTTTTTATTCTTTAATACATATATTCTTTCTATAAACAAGTGGATATTTTTAAAAGCTTAATAATACCTCTAGATCCTTTAGATCTAGATATAATAAATACCTTTAGAATTCTACTCCAATTCATTCATCGTATCATCCTATTAATCGCATCATCGCATGGCTCCTATTAAATATATATAGTTCCCAGTTTTTGTTATTCAGTTCTCCCTAATAGCCCTTTCACTCCCCAAGTCTCCACTACCAATCTATATATATAAAAGAACAACGTGTTTTATGTTACAACACTTATAAATCAAGAACGGAAGAACAGATTTGAGTGAAAATTGGTAGGGAGGTAGCTTAGAGCCAGGAGAAGGACATAGGATACTTTTTGTCCCGTTCGACAGCGTTCCTCCCTGGCCCATACTTTTTT